GTAATTTTATTGAAAGAATTGATATTATTTAAAAAACAAATTATTGGCTTAAATATAGTTTTTGTTTTTAAAATAATTATAGCATTAATCTACCTTTAAACTGAACAAAGGAAAGCGATTCCCATTATTATTGTTTAACGAACTAAAAACTTTTACATACGAGTATCTACAGCAACTTGACCAAATTACTTCAAATTCATGCTCAATTAATAATTAATTTGTTTAAAATAATAAATTTAAGGTTATAGGAAACATAAAATTGTAATTTAATTATTCTGGCATATTAATTAAAAGCCTAAAATAAATTCTTATTATACAAGCAATTAAAAGTGACCTACTAAAATATATTCCCTGGTGATAAAATCGCACTATCAAGTTATTCCATACCATATACCATATAATTAATATTAATAAATATATAAATTTATTTTACAAATGTGTATGCGTTCATAATTTACAAATGCATATACAACTTGTTAATGGTGTCTTTGGGCTGAAAATGATTGTAATTCTGGATAAATGCACAAACGCATTCAGAAGGGAAAATAATTGTTATTGCTTAATGGGAGTTGAAAAACAAATGCGTTAGCATCAGGAACAGAAATTTGTATCCGTTGGATTCATTGATCAATAAAAGAAATAAAACTGTTGTAAAATGTATAAAACAATGCGTATAAAATCCTTTATAGAAAAGTAGACACAATATATGAGATCCTAAATAAAAAGAATTTTATTGTAAAAATACAATAACATAAAAAACTGAAATGAGCACAAAAACTTTCCCTTTTGTGTCTAATGCATCTATTGTCGGAAAACGCATTTCCATTTTATAATAAAAACTAAAATGTTTTTATGAAACAAATATAGGTAGGTGTAATACTATTGGGATATCAAGAGGTGTTCGATATCTCGGTAAAATGATAAAGTATATCATTATGACACAAAGTGAGAACGAAAAAGAATTGAATAGGGGCATTCAGACGTTTGTCATTCAATCATTTACCAATGTTGGAGTAACAGATTTTTTTTTCATTTTTGCAGTAGGTGGAAAGCTTAGAAAGCCACGGTGTAAATCTTGAACCCACTAAAACCACCTCTTAGGAATAAATGGAGAACAATTCCATAGCAATGTGGAAACTTCATTCCAGTGTAATCAGGGAAGAGAGATGAGAACAGATAGGCTCAATACCTAGTGAATTAAGTTCATCTAATCCAGAAAGCATGGACAAGAATTAGGGAGAATGAATACTGAAGAGGATGACATTACGACTAGAAGCGGGCATGAGATTAACGGTAAACCTTATGGCCAGGATCACGAAAGTCGCGGTTAAAGAGGAGAATGACGTGGGGATTGCGGTTCCATTCATCAAACTAATGGGGTTGGTTTGAACAAGGTCTTCAGGAAGGATAATGGGAATGAAGATGTCATGGGGAGGTCGTGAAGCCGGGTGGTGTAACTGCGGGTACTCGTCAACACAAGTGATCTTGGCCTTGTCATAAAGCACAGCGACAGAGAAGTACTTGCCGTTAGGCTTGCGCTTATAGGCTATATAGAAAAGTCTGAATTCCTTTTATATATACATA